ATAGATAGATAGATAGATAGATAGATAGATAGATAGATAGATAGATAGATAGATAGATAGAAAAGATGGACTGCAAGGCCATCCAACCGGCCAGTCCTAGAGGAGATCCACCCTGGCTGCTCTTTAGAAGGCCAGATCCTGAAGAGGAAACTCAAAAGACTTTGGCCACCTAATGAGGAGGAGGAAGGACTCCCTGGAGAAGAGCCTCATGCTGGGAACGATGGAGGGCAGAAGAAGAAGAAGGGGATGGCAGAGAAGGAGGTGACTGGATGGAGTCACCGAGCTTCAATGGAATCCAGAGGATGGTAGAGGACAGGAAGGCCTGGGGGAACGTTGTCCATGGGGTCGCAATGTCGGACACAACTTCGCAACTAACAACAACAAGAAGTTATTTTCTTAAGAGGCATCTTCCCTCCTTAAACCTTATCAAGATCTTCTTCCCTCTTCTGGAATGAGCTGCGTTCTTCTACCCTAGAGCCTCCAGACCTGCGTTGAGTAGAAGTAGAAGAACTCTTCCAAACCCTGCTGGAAAGGTGCTCAGTTGCTACCTATTGAGCTGTCGAAGTAGAGTTGAGAAACGCCTGGTGCCCACCCAATTCCCCGTCCCTGTGACCCGTGGGATTTTAAGTGTAATAACAGAGCTTGAACCAAGGGTGTTCAACTATGTCCCCCGGTCTTTATTTTCCAGATTCAACCACCAACATCTGGCTGTGATGCTCACATGTGGAAAACCCCAAGTTCTACCCTGTTTGATGGTCCGTGGCCTTCAGATCTCACTCAGAGGCCAACACAATGTTTCTCTCGAGAGAATTATAGCATGGGGCTACCTGCCCCTGAATTATATTTCCAAGTATGCAACCACAAGAACCAGGTTTTTTAATTCAACCCATCTGGGAATCTTGCTCTTCTCTAGATAGCAAATAATAATTGTTATTTTGCTTCGTTTGTAATGCAACCGGGGTCCAAATCATGCCTGGGTTTTTAAGCAGAGACAGGACTCAAAGATATTCAAGTCATCACCACGAAAGCACCGTTTTACCTGTGGCATCTGGCTATGTAAGTGCTGGTTGAATTTCCCTCTCAAATCCGTGTAGAGCTGCCAGGTATAATTAACGGTGTACAGAAAAGAGGCGACGTAGAAGATCTGGAGAGGCAAAACAAAGAAGGCAGAGCAAAGGCTATTAGTCCTCTGGATCCGCCTTTGGAAATCTGGAATCGTTTGAGAACCGAACAGGGCCGTGGGTTGAAGGGGAGGGGGGGAAGTAGTGGATGGCAAGGGGATGCTCCCATGTGCCTGTAAACCCCCCCACCCCCCAATAACTTCCTCTCTAACCTCCTCTCTATTTCCACTGTTGAAAGTAACCTTTTGCAAAAACCTTTGATTTTTGTCACGGAGTTGAGAACCAGAAAGAAGAACCATCACTGCACTCAGAGAGCACGGAATGTGCTGTGCGGGCCATTCTGTCCTTTTTATATAATTTGTATGTAGGGCTGCAGTTTTCTGTCACCAAGCATAAACAGCTCCAGAAGGAGCCAATTTCCCCCCCCACGAAAGAGGTTTGGTTTTTCCATTTCACATGGGGAAGACTCACAGAAACAGGAAGACGAAATTTCCTGGCATGGCAGATGACACATCGAATACAGCCGTCCAAAATTAACAAAGCAAAATCACGACTTTTGCACCTTCATCCTCCCACTGTCCTACTTCTTCTTCCCTCCCTCCCTCTTTCCTTCCCTCATTTCTTCTCTCCTCCTCCCCTTCCTCCCCGCCCTCCTTCCCCTTCCCTCCTTCTCTCCTTCCTTCCCTCCTTCCTTCCTTCCCTCCTTCTCTCCTTCCCTCCTTCCTTCCCTCCTTCCTTCCTTCCCTCCTTCTCTCCTTCCCTCCTTCC